CAAATATGAGAAAGACAAAGATCAATAAGACAACTCTCAGTAGGCTCTATGTCGCCTTCCATTGTGTTTTTCTTCTTCTTCCGGGCAGGACAAAGCACTTTGTGTTGATTTGTTTTTGTATTTTACACCGTTTCAACCTTTCCAACTGCTTTGACGTCTCCCGCCACCTGCACATACATCTAAAGCGGGTTTGTACCCCCTCGATTTGCGGGTTAAACTCACGTAACAGATGATGTAGACTCGCGCGATGGTGTCCAGTTCTCTTTGTCTTCGATGTGTGCTACTTTATTCTAGCACGCTATTGAGGCACGACTGAAAACCTCCCGGTGCGAGGCTAAGAGCATCGTCTTCAAGTATACACACGATACTTCTTTTTTTTTTTTTTTGTCTGGGCATGTCAGTCGAGTCTACTTCTCACTTTGCAGTCAATTCTCAACATAAAGAGTGCTGACTGAGAGAGAGAGTGAGAGAGAGAGAGAGAAGCGTAAACGTGATGTGATCCTCTATTGTTTTGTGAGACCGATAGCCACCGCTTCTTTTGCTCTCTATAGCCTCCCCTCCCCTGGCCTCACGAATAATGGTATGAAAATGGCAACCAATGAGTGATCGATAACCCGTAACCGCCACGTTTTCTCTGGTTGATCGCGTTTTTTTCAGACATGGTATGTCCGTCGTCTCTATAGCCATCTGTTAATGAGATGTTAAACTTCAGGGCATCAAGAAGAACAAAAACCCAGAGTTTCAGTGTATAATTTGCTCGCCAAAAAACCACACATTCTCATCAGCAAGAACAACAAACACTAATCTACAGAAACATATTAAGGTAAGCTGGGACGCCTGCATTCTGCATTGGTTATACATTGTAACGTTAGAACCAAGTTTTTCTTTTCTTGTGGATCCCAGGCGAAACACTCTAGTACAAAGGGAGCTTTCGTAGATCTCTTGTTTAGCTCCGAATCTCGTAGCGAATGTAGACGCTGGTACTGAACACGCGCACCGCTAGCTTTGTCTGCACAACTCCCGGAATCATTTCCGGGGGCCGTAAGCTAGCGGGATGGCGGGTGTGGTTTCAGCTTTCGGTGGATTCTTAGCTTACAAGTGAACGGAGCGTACCTGCACTCTTTCTCTCAAATACAATATTTTATTTTTACAAGGACTACCATAATAGGGGCGCGTGAGAAATGGAAAAGTAGTGTTGCAGAAAATTTTTGAGAATGATCAAAATTATTATTTTTTTCTGAATAAGTGTGCGGAAAAAGGAGCGTGAAAGTAATTTGTAACGTAACGAGTAAAATAATCCGTTACTTTTCAGCGAAAATTAGTTGTAACGGTAATTCATTGCATTTGAGGCTTAGTAATTTGTAATTTGTTTCCATTCGATTTTTGAAGTAACGAGCCCAAGTCTTGTGATACACGACCGCACGCCGGTACGATTCTCATCCAGTTCAAAACGGGCAGGGGTGAGGATTGAGCCCAGGATCCTGGGTTCTGCAGCGCGAGCTTTCGCCCCACGTGCTCCGAACTGGTGTGCGCTAAAGCCCCTCGATGTGTTTGCGCTCGTCTTGCAAGTAGCGTCAAAGGCGCGAGTGCACGAGGCCCATGTCTCGAGCGGCCCTTGGAAGCAAATGGCGGCGCAGCACTGAAATGAGCGGGCCTTGGAAGCGAATGGCGGCGGAGCACCCGCTCATGGCATGTGTCTCGAGCGCTTCCACAACAATGGTTGGCGGTACTTGTAAAAAACGCTTTTATCAAGGGGCTTTAGTGTGCGCTAGCCCACTTGGCCACCGATCCCCCCTTTAAAGCGTGTTTCACATGCAGCGATTTTGGCCCTAGAGCGGCGCGAATTCTGCCGTCGCGGCGCTCTGGCCAGCACCAGCGGTTGAGCGGCACGAGCGCCGCGACGGCAGAAATCGAGCCGCTCTAGGGCCAAAATCGCTGCATATGAAACACGCTTAAGGGCCTATAAGGTCTATTAATGACGTGCGCGTTCGAAAGCGTCGCTCTGGTCGTGCCACGATTGGCCCAATGATGATTATGACGTCATCAAGGGATTTCTCATCGACGGAAATGAGAAGATTGTAAGAACTTCGATTGTGGGGGTGTTGGCAGTGTTGCATTGAGAGTGCAATAATATCAAGCTGCCACCACGCTAATTAAAAACACCATCGAATTTTTTGTTCGCAAGGTAATAACGTTACGAGAGGGAACCATAGGAGGGCGCTACCAAAACATCTGGCCGCTAATAGCCACCGTAAGGCCTGGTTCAGACAGTTGCGTTTGACTGCGTTTGACTGCGTTGCGGCTGCGAGAAACTAGGACATCTATGCTGTTTATATCGCGTGCCAAGATGATTCCTTGAATTGGATTCCACGCTTCATACGACGCACAGATGTGCTGGTGACTCGCTTCCGGTTCTTGACGCAACGCAGTCAAACGCACTCAAACGCGAGTGTCTGAACCGGCCTTTACACTGCTTTGAAGCATCCTTCTGCAGAACAAGCGCTCGGGCTAGAACTGAGTGTCCCAAAACCAGGAGTGCGTTTTGGCTCGCGCTAGTAGCTTTGGCTGCAGTCTGAGCTTAAGTGTGAACAGAGTATTGGCCTCAAGACCCAGATTGAATTGTGTTTCCAGTAGAGGTAGCGTGGATAATGAAGATGCCGAGCCGCTTCGCACGATAAAATCAGTCCGCTAAGCAATAAAATGCACTAAAACAACTTAAAAACTGGCACCACGATGCCCTGATATGCGCAGGTTGATCTTGCAATTATTTTCTCTTGGAGAAAAAAGCTGTTTCTGCCCGTTTTCAGTTCCCGGTTGCACAACACTGTTCACGATGGCGAACTTCGGCGAATTCTGCCGAAAGTTCCCCGAACCAGTCGAACAGTCCCCACCGTCCTCCAGTCGACCCCTACCTTATCGCGTGGCCTTGGTCAACGTGACCTCACTTTCTGTGTGTGTTTCGCGGGCTGGACTCCGTCACCCCTGAGCTGACAGGGTAATTGAAGCCAAGGCGTTCGGTGAACCAATCGCACGTCTAACTTTAATCAGGCGATCATGCTCCTTCCCGTAACCACGCGCAGAGAGCGGGGCAGGTGATGACTGATCCGGCGGGCGCGTAGCTCCCCCTGTACTGTCAGCTTAGGAATGAACGGATTCCTTGTCGCTCAAGGACGCCGAATCCTCTTCGCCCACAAAGGAGATTTGTGTGGGGAAAACGGGAGGGTAACTGTTCTCTCATCACGTGTCTCGCCCTTTCTGAGGGAAAGAGAGGGTGCGCCATGGAGTTTAGCCGAGCGACCTTGGTAAGCAATCCGTTCCGAGGCCGTTCGGCTCGCCCCTCCCCTGTGCTCTCCCCTTTCTCAAATACTTCCGTCTGTCTCTGCTCAAATTTGCTATCCGGGCGTCCCAATCTCCAAAATGAATGAGTATATAAAAGAAAACTCTAGAGCAATAGGACAAAAAGAGACCGAGAGACACGAAGCTCGAAACTCAACTTGAAGCCTACTGTCAAAATTAAAAAGAGACAATAAAAATAAAATGGTTACAAAAAAAAAAAAAAAAATGTTCGATATAAATTTCAAGAAAATTGTCGGCCTTGTTGGCGTTCCCTCAGAGCACCATTGAAGCTAACTAGATTAAGGCTGCGGTCCCACGGCAGCCATCTTGAACAAGGCTTTAGTTCAACCAATAGATGGCGACACGTACCCGTGGGGTGGCCGAAACATTGGTTCACAGTGGGATGGCTCGAGCACCATCACGTTCCCCTCGTGGCCTTGCTCGCGCCGCTGCCAGCTGTGCTCAGCTAGCTCAAGTAGCGTGGCCCAGCAAACGGATGTATGCGGAGATGCGGTTCGGCGGTTGTAACGGGCTTTCACAACAAATCTTACCAAGAAGGAATCAAATGTTGATTGACGTGTTAATATTCTATCAATGAAAATTTCTTCTGCAGGAATGCACGCTCAGTAGACTCAATCTTCCAAGACAGGAGTGGAAGCGGACGTCAAGTCGCGATTTACAGTGCTTACCTCAGCATTTTAATGACGACTAAAATAACGTCACGAAATATTGTGTTTCACGGGGTCCGGCAGATGTCTTAAAGGTTGTTACATTATAGACCCCTTTCGGAATGGAGCGCCACCTGTTGCACGCAACTGCAACTAGGTCCGCCGCCATCACGCAGGGGTCCCGCCAGAACCGCCTGCATCTTACCGCCTACAACGGTGCACTTTGAGTCCCAGTCTGCGCGCGCCGCATCAATATGCCATCGCATTGCTGCGTACCTTTGTGTACGCAGGATGGATACGTTGACGGAGACGGAAAAAAGGTACGTGTCAGACAAGTTCTAAAGTGTTCAAAAAGAAAAACCGAGTCCTCGTGTTGTTTACAAAACTTTCGCGGGTTAGACAAGAAAACGCTCTTATCTTCCGTAAGCGGAAGCATCGCAAACGATTATATGTTGTAGTAGTGTGCCCGTGTGTCGCGCCCCGTCTTTAACTAGAGAAGTACGGCCGCGGTTCAGTGCGCGGCTCGCATGCGCGAGCGGGTCCCTCCTTCAGCGCTGCTTCACTGCAACCGAGGCCATTTTAGGTACTTGTTCGGCGTGTAGATGCATGATTACTTCTTCCTCAAGTTCGTTTCCTTTACTCACGCCGGTAAAGAGTTTTCCAGAAAACAGACGTCGGGTGGAGGGAGTGCACAGACTAAATGCAGTGTACACCGAATATGAAGATCACTCGAACCCGCCTTGCGATCGTAGGAACTGTTGGAGTGGTGGCCTGAACAGGGTGCCAAGGCCGTACAACTAGACGTTTAGGGACGTTACGCTACTAATCAGTTTGGAAATTTGTGAGAATGCAGCCAAAGAGTTGGTGTTTAGAGCATGTTCAACAATTATTTTGTTCAACGGTTGTTATTCCTGAACACATTGTATGTTGTTCAATTATAATTTTTAAGAAAACTGTTTTTGATGAATGTATGTTATTTTGCAGGTGTCCTTTCATATGTTCCCCAAAACAGACAACGTCTATCGGAAGTGGATCACAGCAATCAGGCGTGATGAAAGTAGACTATTTAAAGTGTCGAAGGCAACAAAAGTCTGCTCGAAGCATTTTGTGGAAACAGACTTTGTTCGTAATGTGGCCAGTGGCCGCAGGCTGCTCTACGAACACGCAGTTCCATCAGTGTTCAGTTTCACCAAGCCTAGAGTCACTAGGAAGCCACCGAAGGAGAGACTTCCACCAGTCATACACCAGGCTTTGCAAGACCTTGAAGACCCAAACCGAAACTTGGAACAAGAATCGCAAAATCACGAAGACCCGTTCCCTATCCCCGAGCTGCAAGAAGTATGTCCACAAGTCACCGCAGAGTTCATGGGAGCGCCACCTTGCACGTGCAACCTGGGGCCAGAGCTTGACATGACGAAGGCTGTGGAGAGGAGGCAACAAAAAGACATTGATTAACTGCGTGCCGAACTGAAACGGAGCAAAGCGCAGGTGTACAGATTAAAAGCTCAGCTGGAGGCCGCACTTGCAAAATGTGAAGTGCTAGAAGCAAGAAGTGTGCCTTTCGGCGTAGAGAAATTCCGAGCCAATGATGAGGACATTCAGTTTTATACTGGGTTGCCCAATTACCGGAGTTTCCTTATTCTTCTAAATTTTGTCGACGCTGGCGAAAATGGGAGAAATATTCTCATGCAACATGGGAGGCACTCCTCTGTCTCGCAGAAGGCCGGACGGCGACGAAAGCTGTCGGCAGAAAACCAGCTGTTTCTGGTCCTCATGAAGTTGAAGGGCGGAATCTTCCACAAACACCTAGGCCATCTGTTTGACATTTCAATGAGCACCGTGTCAAAATTGTTCAGTGCATGGATGAGCTTCCTCTACCTGAACCTTACCCAGCTGGGTCTTTGGCTGCCACGGGAGGCCATCGACACCACCATGCCAGTTGCGTTCTTGGACAAGTATCCGACGACGCGAGTCATCATAGATGCTACGGAAGTCAGATGCGAAGTAGCAAGTTCCTTTGTCACACAGTCGGGAACTTACTCTTACTATAAGTCAACGAACACATTCAAAGGTCTCGTCGGCATTTCGCCTAATGGCCTTGTGACATTTGTGTCAGAGTTGTATATGGGATCTGTCTCTGACAAAGAAATTGTGATAAAGAGTGGACTGATCACGATGCCTTTTGATCAAGGGGACTCTGTCATGGCTGACAAAGGATTCAAGATTGCCGACCTTCTAAAACATCTTGGTGTCACGCTTAATATCCCTCCTTTTCTAAATCGGGGCAAATTTTCAGTTGAGGAAGTGGAGGAAACCCAGGACATCGCAGCTTTAAGGATCCATGTTGAGCGACGCATTCAAAGAATTAAGTCGTTCCACATCTTTGATCGACCCATCCCCATCTCGCTGGCACCCCTTGCTAACCAAATCTGGACTGTTTGTACCATACTCACGAACATGCAATCACCATTGATTAAGGATAACGAGTAAATTGTACTTGGAAATGTTCCCGCAGGTTGACCCAACTACTGACGAGTGAAAATGGGAAGTTTTAGTAGACTGTACAACTGCTAGCCTCCAGTACTGTGTAAACGATGGCCACTGGCTTGAACAGAATTCACAATGCTTGTATATAAGTGAATGAACCTTTGATCCTTTCAGCTGTGTTTTGCATAATGTTTTTCTATCCAACACACCAACAATTCTTAGAGCCACTGCACGGGGCAAGTTACCCCGCTAACACATGATTTTGTACTTCGGGAAGCGTTCATATGCTCGCATCTTACAGGTGTCATTTATGTGCCTATGGTAAAGCTGATTTACCGTGATTCTGCGTCAGATACTCATTTCAGAATGCTGTTTCGAGTTCTAGCGCCCAATTGTACCGTTCCACTTGTTCAAGATCGGCTTTTCTCGTATAAGAGAGTTCAATTGAATAAACCAATGTCATCAAACAGTTCGACTACACCGCTATTCCTGCAATGCATTGTGGAATCAGCAGTCTTTCTGCCCATGCAACAACCTTGTTGGCTCTTCGTAGAGAGCAAGAGAGGGTAAAGCCGTCATGTTCTGCCGCCTTCCTCCTGTGAACTAAATTGGGTGGTGTCGTGCATGCAGCAAGCGGTTGATCAGATCAATTTATTTGTATTGAAAGGAAACATGTCCGAGACCTTTCTGCAGACGCAATTGTAGAGTTCAGGTCCGAAGTCTGTGCTAACAGTAAATTGTGTAGAAAAAAAGACATGGAAAGTCACATTCATAAATCGATTACACCATGTATGTGTGACCTGAAGCCCCCCTAGCACAGTCTTTCAACCAAGATCAAACACTGGTTTCAGACTTTTGTTAAAATCACAAAAGTAATCCAGTTACAGCATGCAATACTAAACAAATTACAGGCATGGGTAGTGCTGCTGATGCTTTGTAAGCAACAGGTTGGTGCCTAAAAATAATAAAGTGGGGTTTGGCTCCTGTAGCACCGGTTTGCACGACTTCGAAACTGTTTTCGTCGGAGTGAGGTTCATCCAAGGAGGAGTGAGCATTGACAGGAGATCAGGGACACTTGTATGTTTAAAAAAATTTTATATGAAAAATGCATTCAACACAAAGAACTGATACAAAGACAACATAGAAAAGATCACACTCCTCCTCCCCCCTTCCTTCTCTTCCCCCCCCCCCCCTCCCCCAGAAAAAAAACAAAACATCATGGTACAAGGTGACTTACAATTAGCTGAAATTTGCTTCGTATGTTTAAAAAAATCTTTTACATCGAAAATGTATTCAACATAAATGAAATATACAACACAAGGACAACAGAAGAAATCACACACACCCTAAAAAGAAACAAATTCCCTGTGTCGAAGAGATTTTTTAAGTTAATGCAATTAATGCAGGAGTGTAGGCGAGCTGGATAATCCCTGGAGAAGGGGAACAAGGGGACAAACAACAAACACAAAATCTCCAACTTTAGCTAGGTGACTGGTGCGCAGATGAAAAAATCCGCCTAGTCCTGGTATCGAACCCCGGACCTCTCCATTTCCAGTGGAGCGCTCTACCCACTGAGCCAACCAGGAGTTAGACGTCAGTAGAGCAAACGGGTTTTAACAGCCGCCACCAGTCTTGCCACCAACAAGGGGGGTCCTACATTAAGGTTATGAAGTAATGCAATTAATGCAGGGGTGTTAATGCAGGACTCGCCCTTGTTGGTGGCGAGACTGGTGGCGGCTGTAAAAACCCGTTTGCTCTACTGATGTCTAACTCCTGGTTGGCTCAGTTGGTAGAGCGCTCCACTGGAAATGGAGAGGTCCCTGGTTGGAAACCAGGACCAGGCAGATTTTTTCATCCACGCATCAGTCACCTAGCTATTGTTGAAGATTTTGTGTTTGTCGTTTGTCCCCTTCTCGAGGGATTATTTATCGTTTTAAGATTTTTCAAACCACTTAGATGGGTAACATTGACCTCACTCCAAACCAGAAAAAATTCAGAAAAAAGTGAGTGCAATAAATGGTTCAGCTTACTCTACTCTGCAATTCAAAGCGCAGCAACTACCGTCTGCACTCCAAGTGTGGCAGCAGTTCATTAAAGTAGAAATCTTCTAACTTTTCACTCACACTCTGCCATACTTTTTCATTGAACCTCATCCTTTCAATTAGGATGAAACTTTTTCCATATACAACAAAGTCTGCCCACTGCAGCCCAGAAAGCGCCATTTGTCCGAGGACTTGATAATAAAAAGGATGATCGTCCTTCAGCCTTGTGCAATCTCCACTTCTTTGGAGCAGAAGTCCGCATGGGTAAGCTCTTCAACAGTTTTGTTGTAAAGGGAATGGGGGCACTTAATTTCCACAATCCCATGAGGGGGGTCCTCCGCGGGGTCGTGCACAACTCTGTCTGGTGATGCCCCAAGCCATGGGGTTTCAGGGTCGACGAACAGCCCGCATGACTTGACTGTGACCTGGTGGCCTAGCCCTCGGAGCACATCCTCGTAACACCTTGCGGCGAGTGGCTCGTTGACAATGCCATGTCTGCAAAGTAAGTAGAAAGTTACATTGGCACCGAGGTTTACACGGTGATACAGTGTCCGCAAAACATAAAGGTTTCAGCATAGTGCAGACTGCGGACGCTCCAGTAGCATAGTTGGAAGGATTAGAGCACATGACACGTGAAGCAATCGTACGGAAAGGCTCTACGCTAGTTTGTATCTGTAACGATTGACGAGCCTTAAATTTTTAAATAAAAGCTTGCCATTTTCGTGACCTGTGGGCGCTGAATTACAACAGTTCTTGGCTGATTTTCATTTTTAAAAAGCTTGAAAGCACGCTTGAAGCTTGAGGAATGCGTTCGTTCCGGCGGAAGCGACGGCGTCGACGTTTTCTGAATGCTATTTTTTTGGCGGCTCTGTGCCACCTGGTCTCCTTCAGTTTGTTTTCTCGTTGCTGTTGATAGAAATTTTGCTGTCACCTGTATGTATAAGGACATTCTGTCTTGTTTGTGCGAGCACTGTTACGTTGCGCCACACACTCGGTTTCGGATACATAGAGCTTGCCGATACTGACGCTTCTGTCTAATGTAAGAAGCTGCTAGTGTGGTTCGGCAGTTGCTGGCGGATATCCGCACAGCTTTCATCACCTCCCCCCCCCCCCCCCCCCCCAAATAATCAAGCCCTAACGAGTACCTCGCCAAAGGAATTTGCCACATCACGACTTCTCCTTGAAGGAGAAGACATGTATTAGAGGATAGGCATGCTGTGCCATGCAGTGCCATAAGTAACGCTTACAGCGCCTCCACTTTTGTCGGTTTTGCGCTGCTCTCGTTAGCGTGAAACAGCAACCCACCACAAACTCTGGATCGTGCTAAAAGTAGTAGGTCCCCTGCATCTGCTGGTAGGGCTTGAATGTGATGCAAAGCTTGGTTGCGCAACGTGGCCTTTTAAAACCCTTTAAAAGAAGCCCAATGGCTATTGGTAAAATGCATTCCAAGAGAAAATATAGAAAACAATAGGTGGAAAACCCAAATGGCAGCCAGAAATGTGCATCCGTATAGCTCCGGTGCATTCTAAGCAATGGTAGATGGTAGGGCTGCGCTACAAGGTGTGAATACAGCCTTCTGCCCTGATGGCATGCCTGCTTACCTCCAAAATCTCGTTGCCCAGAAAGGGAATGGGGATCTCCCACAATCCACTGGTCGAGAAGAATGTACAGTCTTTCGGGGGAGCATACGAGAAACTTTTGTGCTGCCCTATGTTTGTTACAACTGAAAGTCCATGCGGGATGATGGGTTGCTGGTAGGACAGCGGTGATCTGGCCAGTGCAGGGCCAAACCTCGTGTCTTTCACTGTGCTGTCCGTCACCAGTAGCAAAGCCTTCCCGAAGTCGGTGCAGGTGCCTAGGGTAGCGAGCGCTTCAGCAAAGCTCCTGTTGGCGGCATTTTGCTGGCACTGGCTTCTTGGTGAGATCCTGCTCTCATACAGACGAGATGTCAGCGGGGTATCCAGCCCGCCCTCCCTCACGCTTCTCCAGTTCACCGACTGAATCGAGGTACCCTGGATGTGGGGCCCTCGGGGGACCCTCCACTGTTGTGGCAGGTCGGTGCAGCTCAGCTCCGCTGGTGCCTCGCTGAAGCCTTTTGACTGCAGGAGTGCGACCGTCCGAAGGAGGGCCATCAGATGATGACATGCCATACCTCCTGCAGGGCATTCACAATGGCCATCCAACAACTAGCCTTGCACCCCAACTGCCGCCATCACAGTGTACGGATCCTGGGTCTTCTTCTTGCTTCGGTAGCAGGAGCGCTTAATGAAAAAACTTCCTGCACTGAATGGGATAAAAAAAAAAATTGTACACCGGTTTTACACTCCAAACAGCTGTACATATTTTCTTAGCAAATAAAAACCAATTTCAGCACATTTCTTTTTTTTTTTTTTTTTGCAATGTCACATTTCTAGCGGGTTCAAACAAACGTGGTACGTTTACAAACGCCGTGAAATAAACCCAATACATCAGTGGTTCTGGAAAGTCTACTCTGTAGCATTGTGAGAAATGCCACAACCCGCTTAACTTCTTAGTCTTTAAAAGGCTACCGAGGAAGGAATTTAAAATGCTGCCTGCCACCCACCCCTACAACCTTTTCTGCTGTTCTGTACGATTCACGATTGCGATTTCTTAAACACTCAAGGTTGTGACTCGTGAGGAACCTTTTGCAGTTACTGACACGCGGTCATAAGTTTATTGGAGGGGTACGAAAAACGAAACGAGCGAGTTCTCGGCTGTCACCGAACGACAAGCTCACGACGGGGGCAGCGTACCGGGTCGTTCGGAGTGGCCACGCTAAAAGCGCGATCACTATGATTAACTGTATTAAAATTATGGAATGTTACTAAAAAAAATTACTACAAAACAAGAAAGAACTTGCCTTTTCCTTGAGTAGTTAGCCCTTATCGATGCGGGGACCACGTAAGCTTCGACGAAGAAGTTGTAACTTCGCTCCATACA